GGGGCATATTACTGAGGGTGGGGTGGGGTGGGGGCACAGGTCCCTGGACGACATCATACTTGATAAAGTGGAGGGTCAGTGACAAAGAGGAAGACCCCCAGCGAGATGCATTGGCCAAGTGGCAGCAGCGATGGGCTCAGGCGTGACAACAGTTGTGAAGATGGTGCCGTGTTTTGTTCAGTGGTGCACAGGGTCACTATGAGTTGGAACTGACTTGTCAGCATCTCAGAAGAACAGACTTGAGGCTGTAGGCGCTCTGTTTACCCACAGCGGTGCAGGGTTTCTGGGGTCTGGAGTTCAGAACTTTGAGGAATGACTGAAAAGGCTGTGATGGGGTGGAGGTTGCGTTGGTCATATGTGCGAGGGTAGCCTGAGGCAGGGGCCTGGGCATCTGGGCCACAGTGGCTCCCAGAGGATCCACCCCCTTTGGAGGCTGGGCCACAGTGACCTTCTGAGCTCCCAGTTGAGCACTTTCCGCTGGGCAGAAAAGCCACCCTCCCATGGCATGTCTCGCTCTGAGACGAAGAGGCATTTGGGTGCTGGGATCTGTAGCAGCCGGGTCCCCGTGGAGCATGGCGGCTGTGTGCTAAGCTGTCACTGACCTGAATATGTCACCGTCAGAGGGAGCCGGGTCTGATCATCACTTCCATCTTTGTAGAGAGTTAGATTCTCCTGCCCTGTGGGGAGCCGCTGGCTCAGAGGTCGGGTGCGGCAATGGGGGTGTGTGTGTGTGTTAAACAGTCACAAGTCTTGCTGGTGTGGCTGCGTCTATTGTCTATTTAGTGAGCCGTCTTGGTACCACCGGAAGGAGAGGACGTCTTCCCGCGGCTCTGTGGGCCAGACCTGGAGGATGCTGATCTGTAGGGGACCAAGCCCAAGGGCTGGAGAAGGCCTGGGGACTGAAGCACTGTAGTATGGACGGGCCTTCTACTGTGTCCTGTAGCGTTGCTGTGAGTCGGGATGGATTCCGTGACCCTGGGTTGAGCTGGGTAACCCCCCAGGTGAATGTTGTTCCAAGTGACAGGGACTACTATTGTGTGGAAAATAGGAATATGCCGCTGGGTTACCCAGAGGAAGAGAGGCAACCTGAGTGTTCTAGCACTTTCTCTGCCTGATTGTCTCCGGGGCTGGAAATCATTACGGAAGCAGACAGCCACAGCTTTCTCCCGCGGTGGGTTCAAACAGCCAGCCTTTCTGTCGTTAGCCAAATGCTTAAGCACTGCATTACGAGGGCTCCCCAGTCGTCTGCTGCCCTGACAGGATGTCCCACACGTGGGGGGCTTCAGGGATTGTTGTCTCGGCTATGTCGGTTCCTTCGGTGGCCTCTGGTCTAGTCTCTGGTATCTGTCGGCCATCCTTGGTATTCATTTGCTTGTAATGGTGTTCTCACCTGGTGTCTGTCTGCCCCCGCGTGGGTCTCCGTGTCCGCAGGCGTACCTTATTTCAGTGAACTGCCCCTTATTGTGCTTTGCAGATGGAAGGCGTGTGGCCACCCTGTCTCGAGCTAGTCTTTCAGCACCATCCTTCCTACAGCACTTGCTCCGAGTCTCTCTGTCCTGTTCTGGTCACCCTCACCCTGCTTCAAACTTGTTCATCATGCAGTTGCAGATTTCATAGACTGCAGTGTGCTGTAAACGTGATTTTGATAGGCTTTGGGAAACCAGAAAATTCATGTGACTGGCTTTAATGCGATGTTCACTTTATGGTAATGGTCTGGAAGCAAACCCAGGTATCTCCGAGGTTAGCTTATGTCTTAGGCTGGGTTCTCTAGAGAAACAAAACCAATGCTACTTTATATATTGTTATTAGTTTGTATCATTTCGTGATATAAACTTCTCAATACGTTGTTGTTATGTGCCGTGGAGTCGGTTCTGACTCATAGCAACCCTTCACAGGATTTCTGAGGCTGTAAATCTTTTCGGGAGCAGAAAGCCTCATCTTTCTCCTTTGAATAGCTGGTAGTTTCGAACTGCTGACCTTGCGGTTCACAGCCCACTACAGAGCTCCTATATATATATATATATATGTATGTATGTATTTATCTCAGAGAGGAGTCCTGGTGTGGCACCGCAGGTTAGTGCACTAGACTGCAAGGTCAGTGGATCCTTGGAAACCCTATACAGGATCGCTATGAGTCAGAACCAACTTGATGGCACTTTACAACATGTAAAGTGAAGTTTATGTCAAGAAATGGTTCAAAGTTGTAGTGCCAGGAAAGTCAGTTGGCCCCTCTGGAAAGCAGGAATCCCAAGTCGGGGCACAGAGCAGGACTCGGTGCTGGATCAGGGACGGCAGCAGGGTGACGGTCCACCAAGACCCAGGCAGGTTGCAGAACCAGCAGCGTGGGTCACATGAGCCAAGGTGACAGAAACAGGCATTCAGGGCCATCCGGTGGGCATCAGGTTTTCTGGGCACACTCTGTAGATAGGCAAACATACAATATAAAGCAGGCCACTGGCTCCACTTTCTCTGGTAGCACCACCTGTATCCAGGACACTGGTCCCACCTACCAAGGAGCCCACGAGGGCTCCCTGAGAGTCACCGTCCAGGCAAGGGCCAGTGTCCAGCCTGTTCACTACACCGTCTGCTCTGTAACACTGGAATAGCTGCTCTGGGCTAGGGGTGTCTGTATTGTCTTTGTTGTCCCCCAGCACGTTCCCAGAGCATCAACTGTGACGGTGTCCTGGGTGGAGTCCAAGCAGTGCCATGGGGTGCAAGAGGCTCGAGGTGGCCTCGTTCCGTGAGGTAGCTGAGTAGCGTGCATGCTGAAGGGCCGGGTGGGGCTCTGTGCTCTGCTCGTGGAGTTACACAATGAATTCTGATGCCTCAGTGGGTCTGATGTGCAGGGGTGGAGCAGGCCCTGGTGGGGGCTGGGGACACAGACGGCTCGGGCATGTTCTGTCCTGTGGTGATGACCTGCCCAGGACAGCGTGTCTCCCAGTCTTCTCCTGGAAGATGGGGGCTCCCTGGCACTCCTTGCACAGAGGTCTGTCCGCTGTAGCTGAGGCAGGTGAGGTGGGCCGCTGGGGCTCCCAGGTGCTCAGGAACCACACCTGACAAGTGTTGGCTATTGTCACTGTTGTCATTACAGGAGTGACTGGGAGGGGAGGGGGCTCGGAAGAAACACAGAACAGTTAGGGGTTAAGCTTCAGGTGGGAGTGTGAGGTTCCCTGCGCAGGTCCCCTCCTTGTCTGCCCGGTGTCAGGTATGCTGTGCAGTGAGGTGGGCTGGGTCCCGAGAAACCAGGCCTGTGCTCTGACCAAGCAGTGGTTTGGTCCCGCCGCCATGGTTCTTATCAAATCCCTCCATCGGCACCTGCCTGTGCATGGTGTGGGTGCTGTCCAGGGGCTGGAAACAGGCTTGGCTTTGCTTTTGAGTGTCCCAAGCCCCTTCCTCTGGATAGTGTGCTGATGTGGGGACAGCGTGGGGACATGTGGTGACATGTTGACTGTGTGTCGGCAGCCCTGGAGTAGCAGTGGTTAAACTGCCCTGCTGCTAAGTGTGGAAGGTCAGTGGTTTGAACCCACCAGCTGCTCCACAACCTCATCGGAGATTCTGCCTCAGCAGAGAAGGACTGAGGCCCAGGGAGCTTGGTTTTCAGTGAGCTTGCTGGTAGTTCTAAAGTACCCACTTTGAAAACAGTATCTCAGGTCTTTGGTGCTGGGCTTGCGATGAGGGGCTTACCGCATCCCTGCTGTTCTACACATCCATCTCCCTGGCCCCAGAGTCTCCCTACTTCCTCTCCTTCTCTCAGCTCCTCTCCCTCCCAGCCCCCAAGACATCCCCAGAAGGCTCCCACCTCAGGCTTCATCACCCTTTCTTGATTGGCCTTCCACCCCCATCCTCCCGCTGGCTCCCCGAGCTGTAGCAGTCTGCTTCCACGAAGACACCAGCCTGGGGAACCCTTTGGGGCAGTTCTACTCTGCCTACCAGGATGGCTGTGAGTCAGAATTCACTCGGCGGGGGCGGGTTTTAGGAGTGGAAGCACCACATGTGACTCCACTGCTCAGGAGGCTGGGAGTCGGGATTCAGGGCGCCGGCTCCTCAGGAGGCTCTTGGTCGGCTCACGGAGAAGGTCTCCTGACACGCGCTTGTCCTCTCTGGTGGGACCCCCTTTTGCTCTGTTCCTGAGGGGCTCTCTTCTGTTGCAAAGAGAGGTCTTGGGGCCACCCCACACTGCTGTGGCCTCATGGAACTAACAGAGAAAAAGCCCTGCTCCCAGCTGGAACCCATCTCTGGGTCTTGGGGTTGTGGTTCCAACACACAGTTCTGGGGGATACACGGTAGTCCGTACACAGTAAGGAGACCCTCACCCTTCTTCATCCCTCTCATTGCTCCCTGCTGGTGTATCCCCGAAGGAGGAGAGACAAGTGCAACCATCTGTCTGGTCGACAATGGGGGTGGAGGTGGGGAGGTAGGTGAACAGGTGGTCACTGGCCCCCCTCTGCACAGCCTTCTGCCAAAGGAAGCTTCTCAGGCAGTCGACTGTGGGAAAGTGGACCTGCTCTGTCAGTGGCTTAGCACTGCGTCCTTGGGAGACCCGTGCTGGTCACCTGCGCTGTAGCGTCTTCGTGTCCTTGGGAGACCCGTGCTGGTCACCTGTGCTGTAGTGTCTTCGTGTGCTTAGTAGACCCATGCAGGTAACCCGTGATGTGGTGTCTCAGCGCTGCGTCCTTGGTAGACCGGTGCTGGTCACTTGCACTGTAGCGTCTTCGTGTCCTTGGTAGACCGGTGCTGGTCACCTGTGCTGTAGCGTCTTCATGTTCTTGGTAGACCGGTGCTGGTCACCTGTGCTGTAGCGTCTTCGTGTCCTTGGTAGACCCATGCTGGTTACCTGCGCTGTAGCGTCTTCGTGTCCTTGGTAGACCCGTGCTGGTCACTTGCGCTGTAGCGTCTTCGTGTCCTTGGTAGACTCGTGCAGGTACCCCCTGATGTGGTGTCTCAGCGCTGCGTCCTCGGTAGACCCCTGGTGGTGACCTGCATTTGCTTCTCCCGCTCAGAGGAGGAGCTGAGGAAGCTTCGAGAAGAGACCAACGCGGAGACGCTGCGTCAAGAGCTGGAGCGCGAGCGGCAGAGGCGGCAGGAGCTGGAGCAGAGGGTCCAGGAGGTGCTGAAGGCCAGGTAGTGGCTCCTGGGGCCGAGCTGCCACCGGACTTCCCAGAAGCTCTGGAACTGGCCATCTGCCCTCTCCCCGTCCACCACCCCGTGACCATGGGGGCATCACCCCTCGGTGCTGGAGCTGTCTGAGGGGAGATCTAGGGGTCCTGAGCCTGGACCCCCATTTCCTAGGTTTGAAATTCACCTGTGTAATTATTGGGAGTGACCTGGAAAAGTGGCCTTTCTGTGCCTCAGTTTCTTCATTGGGAAAGTGGGGGTGTAGGTACTGAGAGAGTAGGAGCCACAACAGTGCCCCAAACCAGGAGAGGGGACCGCTCCCCTCCTCCCCTGCAGCTCTTGCCCCTGTGTTTCTGCCCCAGAGGCCCTACTGGACCTCCCAGCATCCTGAGCCCTGCCCCCAGCCCTCCCTGCCCATTCAGGGTGCTCCAGACTCCATAGTGGGCCCCGCCTGGAGCGTTCTCCCCTAGTGTCCTTCCCACAGCCCAGGGTCAGGGGGCACTATCTGGACTCAGCCCTGGCCAGCGACCCTGGGGCCTGGCTGTGTGGAAATGAAACTGGCCCTGGTGATCCTCTGGGGGGCTGCAGTCTGCTGGGATCAGCGCTTTCTGCCCAGAACCCTCATGATTGTGAACCAGGGAACATGAGCTGTATCAGTTGCTGTGGCATCGAGTCCAACTCATGGTGATCCAATGTGTGTCAGCACAGAACAGTCCTCCTCAGGGTTTTTAATGGTTGGGCGAGCAGTTTGCCAGGCCTTTCTTCTGAGGTACCTCTGCATGGACTCGAACCTCCACCCCTCAGCTTGCCAATGAACTGTTAGCCGTTAACAGTTCTCATCACACAGGGACCCCAAGCTAGTTGCCATTGAGTGTACCGGGACTCATAGGGCTCATAGGGTTTTTAATGGCTGGCCTTATGGAAATAGATCCTCAGGCCCTTTTTTCTGAGGTGCCTTTGGGTAGCTAGTTAACTGTTTGCACCACCTAGAGACTCCTCCAAGAAAACTTAGGTTTTATAAAAAGCAATTCAGGTGCATTTCACCTCAAGCTCGTTTGTTCGATCCCTGATGGATCTCTGGCCTTCCTGTGGTCAGCAGTCTCGCTACTGCTCCGAAGACACTCCATCCATCTCCCACGCTTTACTGGAGGTGGTGGCAAGAACATCCCCCCGGCTTCTTTTTGATTAGAGAGGGTCATCGTACCCGTCTGCTTCCTGTGTACAGAGCTTGCTGGGGTGAAGCCACATTAACCCGTGCTTGGCAGACATGAAGGATTCAGCATTCTTGCCTGGAACACTGCCTTCCACCCATTTCTGTCCCCGAAGGTGGTGCATTCATTTCTAAGCACCTGTTTGCATCTAGCAGGCAGCCTTGCTGGGAGGAATCACCTGGTGATGCCCATGCAATGTCATTACATACACACAGACAGTGGCAGCCACCAGCCCGTGGAGGCCCAGGCTGGAGCAGGGGCGGGCTGCCACGTCCTCACAGCAAACACTTGGGTGCAGTACTTTCATGCTCTGGGGAAAGCCTTCCGTCTTTCAGAGCCCCCAGACCTGCTCAAGGGGCCGCCCCCAGACAGCCTGCCCATGTGAGAACTGGGGTCTCATATGGCTCCAGCACCCCACCCCTATTCCACAGTCCTTGTTCTGCCTACAGAAACCATATGGATCCCAATGGTCCAATCACAGCTGACCCTAGGGCTGGCACTTGGCTAGCCAGCATCTCATTCCCCGCGTGTGGACTAGCCCTGAGTCGGAGCCAATTTGACAACCAATAACAACAACAATTAGTAATAGAATAGCGGCTTAGCTGAGCTTGAGGGTAAAGAAAGAAGAAACGAGGTGTATATTTATTTATGAGACTCTCTGCTCAGCTCGAGCCCTTGGGTGGTGCCCACGGCTTGGTGTCCAACCTCTAGCTGAACCCACCCAGAGGTACTTTGGAAGACTGGCCTGGCCGTCTAGCTTTGAAAGTTCATGGCCTTTGAAAACCCTGTGGAGCCCAGTTCTGCTCTGCACACGTGGGGTCAGAATGGATTCAACAGACGGTAGCCACAGTAATGCTGGTTCAGTTATCCGGACACACCATCTGTGCCTGCCCTGCCACCGTGGTAACCAGTGACTGAATATGAAGGGTCTCAGGACCCAGGGGACCCTGGTTCACTGGAGCACTGTTCTGGGCGCAGTTCCCACTGAACCTTTTGTACTAATGGGCGACTTGCCTCTTCTCCCTTCTCCCTAAGATCCGAGGAGCAGTTGGCCCAACAGCCTCCCAGAGGGCAGGTGCAGGCCAGCAACGGAGGAGCAGGTGAGTCCAGCAGGGTTCGGCGGGGCTGGGAGGGAGTCCCGGGCTCCCCGTGCATGGCTGCAAATCTTCTCCTGTGAGAACTGAGTCATTGTCTCTACTGCAAACTGATGACTCATCAGCACACGGAAGCCATTCACCCGACACGTGACCACATCCTCTCCTGGGAGTCCCCATGTTGGCTTGGCGGCCTGGTGGTTGTCAGAGGGGACTGTTTGGGCAGTGACCCTGGGTCAAGGGCAGGCTCCTTTCTTCTTTTCTCCCCATCCTGACCTCCTGTTCGTTCGCTCTCTTACTCTGCATCCTGTTAGCAGTCGCTGCATCAGATGGGGAGATGAGGGGACCCTGAGGAGGAGTCCTGCTCAGGGTGCCCGCCCCCACAGGCAGGCAGTTCCTGAGACCTCTCTGTGTGCCCTCTCAGAGCTCAAAGCTGAATGGGGGCGCTGAGCTCATCGTGAGAGCCCCAGCCCTGTGTACAGATGGGAAACTGAGGCCTGTGAGGGTTCACCTCTCCCAGGTCAGGCAAGACACCCACTGACTGAACCTGGCTCTGGAACTTTCTGGGGGCTGGGTACTGGACAGAGAGAAGCCAGGCTCAGGCAGAGGGTTGGTGGCATGTCCTGCAGGTAGACCTCACCTCTCGGGCCCCCAGCCCAGACTTAGACCTGGAGTTCTTTCCTTGAGAAGCTGGACAGTCAGCACGAGACCCCAGGGCAGCAAACCAGCTCACTGGGCTATGGGTCACTTCCTGCCCGTGATGGACGAGGGTGATGGACAGGTCCTGGCCCGTGTCGTCCTGTCCAGTGCACGTTCTGACAGCTATGGTAGTGGGGGACATGGTGTGTAGTGGGGGTAGGAGGGATGCCAAGTGTCCGCTTTCCACCCCCTACCCTGAGAAATGGCTGGCCCCCACCATGCCCTGGGAGGTTTGGGCCATAGGAAGGTGGGTACAGGGAAAAGCTTGCTAGGGTTTTTTAGTTCCCCAGGGCACTGTCGGCGAGCCTGCTGGTCCAGTAGAGGAAGAGGTGTGTGTGTGTGTGTGTGTGTGTGTGTGTGTGTGTGTGAATTGGGAGTGAGGTAGACCTGGTAACAGCCTCACATGCCTAGACCTGGGGGATGTGCCAAACTGCAGCCCCACCATGTGTTTTCTTAGTTTTTAAATGGTGAGGAAAATGCAAAAGAAGAAGGCTATTTTTGGTATGTGAACATTATATGAATTTCAAATGTCAGTGTCTGTAAATGTTTTATGGGCACCCAGCCATGCCCACTTGCTTACCCATTGTCTGTGGTTGCTTTGGGGCCATGTATAAAGGGCACAGTTGATTGAGTAGCTGCAACGAAGGCTAGGGACAGTGTTTCCTCTTGGGCCCTTTATAGACCAAGCTTGTCCACCCCATCTACTTCTTTCCACTTAGAAACTATTGCCACTCCGCACCCTCAAGGAAGACTTTCTGTAAACCAAGAGTCTTTGTAACACTCTAGACTGTTAAACTAAGTAACTTTGTAACCCTGTCAACCTTCCACTAAGAAACTTTATCACCCTCTCATCCTGATGTCTGGTAGCATAGTGGCTACGAATCGGGACTGCTAACCTCAAGGTCGGCAGTTCGAAACTACCAGCTGTTCCGCGGGAGAAAGATGAGGCTTTCTGCTCTCATAAAGATTTACAGCCTCGGAAACCCTGTGCAGGGTGTGTGTGAGTCAGAACCGGCTCCACGGCACAGAACCACCACCACCACCCTACCCTTCTCCAATGACTGGTCCCTCCTGACAATATGTCTGAAGTATGAGAGATGAAGTCTGGCCATCCTGGCCTCCAAGGAGCACTCTGGCTGCACTTTATCCAACACAGATCTGTTGGTTCTTTTGACAGTCCATAGCACTTTCAATATTCTCCTCCAACACCATAACTCAAATAGGGACATTGAATTGGAACCAACTTGAGGGCACCCAGTACCAACGAACAACAGAACCTTAACTTGGCGTCACCTCAATGCTTTATTTAGGGGACCAGAGGCAGACCCCTGGGGGCTGGGGGTCTTCATCCCCAGACTGCCTCTCTCCTTCACAGCTCTGGTTCCTTCTCCGGGACTGGGGCTCTGACTGCCCCTGAGCCTGGGATCCCTGATCCACACCCCTCACTCACCCTTGGCCTTGATTTCCCCTTTTCCCCAGAATCCGCGCTTTGTAACTCTGGTCAGACAGCGCCCCCTATGGGTGATTTCCCAACAGGGCTCAACTTGGCCAGGATCCTGGAGTCTGTGATCTGGGTTGTTGTCAGAAGTTTTCTGTTATTATAGTTATGTGTAAGTGCTTACTTATTTTTAGCATAGTTGCAGGTTTACAGACAGTACAGAGAAACCACACCCCAATACCCCTCTTCTCCCTGTGGCCTCATCGTTGCATGCTTGCCTGGAGGTTTCTGCACTCTTGGTGTTGCTCTGTGAGCCTGTGGGCTCACCCAGACCTGTTGGCTTCACTCTCCAGAACTTGTCCCCTGACAGGATACAGGTCCCAGTAGGTTCACCGGCCATTCCCAGAGGTGTACGGGACAGAGAGGAGATGCAATGGGTGGACCTCAGAGGGGCTGGGCAATGCTGGGGACAGCCCCATGAAGGGAGGGGCTCTGGTGTGCAAAGCCCAGACATTCAGGCAGGTTGTGCCCCTGTTCCTGTCTTAGTTGCTGGATTGAACCCCCACCACCACCACCACACAGCTTGAGGGGTCCAGTGTGGATGGTGAATGTTCCAGTTTTGTAGGGAAGCCACCTACCCACCCCTGGGTAGTAGGCACGCTGTGAGTGTCTCCTTCTGCTCAAGGAGCTCAGTGGGCTGACATGGGGTCGGAGCTACCTGGCTCTAGTCTGAGGAGAGGCAGACCCTGTTGGGACCCTCACCATGACTCCGACTGTCCCCACAGACCGCCGGGCCCAGGGGCTGTGTGCTCGTCTCCAGAAGTGGTTTTATGAGAGGTTTGGGGAGTACGTGGAGAACTTCCGTTTCCAGCCTGAGGAGAGCACTGTGGAGGCAGAAGAACCCCTCAGTGCCAGGAGGTAGGACCCCCCACAACTCTGCAGGGCGGGCAGCTGTGTGCCGGGGAGAGAGGCTCCCATGCTGGCATGGGCCAGTTCTTGTAGGACTCAGTCCTTATGGTGGATGGTGTAATGTCCCAACATTGGGTTTCATCGTGTGGTGGTCCTGTGCACAGGGTGGGGGTGGTGCACCCAGTACATCCTCCCTTGCCCCCCATGCCTGGGGTTGCAGCATGGGCACTAGGGTACACAGAGGTGGTAGTGACTAACCCCATGCCCCTCTTTCCTCCCCTAGGTTAACCGAGAACATGAGGAGACTGAGTAAGGCCATGCACTGTCTGCCTGTTTGTACTGCGCACGGTATCTTCTGTCTGTGTGTGTGTGGGGGGCGGGGGGCACTTGTCACCAGCCAACCTGATACACTTCCAAAAGAGACTCCTCCCATGCTTACCAAGTATGTCCCTGGCCCACCATGTGAAGGGGCTGTGAGCGGGCAGAGCTGGGTTCTCCCTCCTGAGTCTTGATTTCAGTGGTAGAGTCGCTGCTTTTTCCAGCTCACTTGTCAGATGTCTCCCAGGTCCTGGGGGTGCAAGAGGCACTCCCCCACGCATGTCTGGCCCCCGGGCGCCCTTTCTCCCCCTGGCCAGCTGTTAACCTCGGTGGGTGCTGCTGATTGTTGGCTACTGGGGGCTGTCCCCACACGACCACACTGGGGTAGCCACAGGAGCATGCGGTTGGCACAGGCGGACTGGGAGCATTGCTTGTCTGGCGCCATGTTGTGCATGTGGGTCCAGACTGACCTGGGGGAGGGGGGTAACACCGCAGCAGTGGCTGACAGGGTGACTGCAGCCACGACTGTTACTCCTCAGAGCGTGGGGCCAAGCCCGTCACCAACTTTGTGAAGAACCTCTCGGCCTTGTCTGACTGGTATTCCATCTACACATCCGCCATTGCCTTCATTGTGAGTGCTGTGCCCGGGGGGGGGGGGTGCTTTCCCAGGGGACCCTGTCTCTGTTTGGGGGAATGAAGCACACAGAGACTGGCCTGGGCCCACAGACTCCTCTCCCCTGGTTCTGCCCTCTTCATGGTGCCCACGCCCACCATGTGTTGGAACTTTGTGTGGGGACAGGCGGGACTTGGGGGAGGGGCCCATGGGCAGCCGCCTGGCTCACCTCACCAGGTCCTGGAAGCACCTGTGCTCTGGTGGATGGGAGCCATATGGGGTCAGCAGGAACCTCATGGGGGCAGGACACAGACCCCTGAGTCAGCTGGACCAGGACCCCCGAGTGTGCTGGGTGGGGACCCTAGTGTGAACTGGACCGTGACTCCCAAGTGGGCTGAGCCAGGACACCCGAGTGGACCCCGTGTACAGTGGCCGCCTCTGGCTGACCGGGTCCAGGCCCAGTAGCTGCTCCCACAGATGTCCAGCCTCCCGCCTGTCCTGCAATGTGCCCTCTCTCCCGTAGCCCTAACCAAGGATGTAGCTCTTGCTCCGATGCCCCCATCCTGCCTGAGTCACCTCAGAGCCCTGGGGACCAGGCCCTCTCAGCACGTCCCAGGGAGGGAGGGTAGACAGGAACGCTGCTGGTGAGGGAGAGGGAGGGGGCGTGACCGTGAGTGTCCAGGTGACTGGCCATGCCGCCTGTCCACAGGTGTACATGAACGCCGTGTGGCATGGCTGGGCCATCCCCATGTTCCTATTTCTGGCGATCCTGCGGTTATCTCTCAACTTCCTCATCGCCAGGTAAGGAAATGGGGGGGGGGGGGTGCTCACTGCGGCATCTCCCTGTGTCCCTGTAGACACGTGGCTTGAGGGGTGCTGAGCAGGCTCTTAAGCAGCACTGACATTGGGGTCGGAGGGGAGAGGGGGCTCACGCCCACCTGGTTTGGTGAAGCAGGCCCCTTTAAGGCCTCCACTGGTCCCACAGTCCAAGCGGAGATGCACTTAGCCTTTCAGCTTCCCTTGCTCGTATCTGCTCCCCAAACCAGGCTGTGATTGGACTGAGGCGCTCCCCACGCCCAGGCCCAGTGGGCGGGCCGATACAGTAGCCGAGGCTGTGTGCTGATTGGTCCCCGGAAGTTACCCGTGGTGGGAGGAGCAATAGGAGGCTGAGGCCCAGGATGAGCACATTGGCTGGTTGTGGAATCAGTGTTGTTCTGCCCTTCATTTGTGCTCCGATCCTGGAGTGGGCGTGGCAGGGCTCCACGGGAACCAGCCCGCCAGTCAGGGTCATGTTCCCCAGGCTGCGTGGGGCCGGCGGCCGTAGGGCAGGATGAACTTCTGCCCTGAAGCCTGAAGGGGGCACCCCCGCACTGCACCTTTTCACCTAGCCTTTCCAGATTTCACCTGTGTACACACTGGCTTTTCTGAGTCTTTCCGTAACTCGTTTACACTGATGCTAGGGGAGCCCTGGTGTGGCACTTGTAGGATAAGCACTAGACTGCTAGTTAGGTTTGAAACTGCAAGGTGGCTGTCCAAACCCAGCAGCCGCTCCTTGGAAATGCCACTGAGGGTGGCTATGAGTTGGAACGACTCTCTGGCACTTAATAACATACTACACTTGAACTCTTGCTGTGACACTGGAGGGTCAGCACTGGACTTCTGACCACAGACTCAGCAGTTCAGACCCACCAGCCGCTCCTCAGAGACCCTATACAAGGTCACTATACGTCAGAACCGATGTGATGATACTTAATATCAACAAGGGAGAAAAAAGACCCCAAATTCAGGCACATTCTATAACCCCCTCCAAAAAAAACTTTCATCGCTATGAAAGTTGATTCTAACTCGTAACAACCCAGTATCGAGTTACCAAGACTATTCCTCTTTCTGAGAGCAGACAGCCTCTTTTTTCTCTTGAGGAGTGGCTAGTGGGTTTGAACTATGAACCTTTTGGTTAGCAGCTCAATTCCCTACAACACCATGAGAACCTTTTATTAAGCCATGAATGGGACAAAGACAGTCATCCCGAATGCGGGAAACCAGGAGCAACACAGTGCAGAGGCCCAAGTGGAGTCCGCAGAGTCCTGCCCTGGGGCTAGTTATAGGGGATAGGGTGGGAGACATAGTGAAAAATCATAATCCCATCAGGATCCCAGGCAGTACTGCAGAAGCCGGGAAAGGGCTGATGAGGATACGTATGTACGCCGCAATTGCAGACATAAAAATGTCCAGGATTGGTCCTGGGGCTTGGACCACCAGGCTACATGGTGGTTAGGGTACAACTCATACCCATGTGGTGCTGGACCATGGCCACCAGGACCCTAACTTTAGATATCCTGCAGGTATCCCAGGTGAGTTCTCTGATTCTTAGTACCAGCTTGAGAGCAAAATTGCCCCCTCCAGGCTCCCCAGGGGTTCTGGGTGTTTCACTCACACACACCCTGAGGACAAAATGCCACCTTGTTGGTTAGTGTCAGAGAGAGTACAAATAGAGCTAGGAGCAGCCTTCCACAAACCAAGTTCTGTAGAATGTAAGCTCCCACACACCTCAGTGCTCCGGAAGGAGTCAGCAGGGCCCACAGCAGAGGGCTGCTAGCTTTCAGTGAATCCTGAATCTATATTGAAATGCCTCCCTCCCCCCACCCTGCCCAGGGCCTGGCAGAGGGGAGGGGGTGGGAGCTGGATGCTCCATTCCCAGGAGTGGGGAGGGGCCCTGGAGGCTCGCTCTGTGTCCCCCCTGGGGTACCCCTTGCTTCAGCTGGGAGCACAGGTTGGGCACGTTTTTGGCTCGTTTTTTGCAGGGGTTGGAGGATTCAGTGGAGCATTGTGCCTGACGTGTCTGAAGCCGTGGTGAGTCCAGCAGGGGGCGGGGTGTCCCCAGGGCAGCCACTGTGCAGAAAGGCTTGGCGGTTCCCAGAGGGCCCTGGGTGGGAGCATGTGGAGACCCCCTGGGATCCCTGCTCTGCTAGACATGGAGGCAGGGAAAGAGACCAGCTGCCAACCCAGAAGCTCTGGCAGGGTCTAGGCACCTCTATATAGGCCTCGGTTTCCCTACCTGTAAAGTGGGGCTACAGGGGCTGAGGTTGCCTCTACCCAGAAACTTTGTAAAGGATCTCTGAGTCAGGACCTCTGCTCTGCCCATGAGACCACCTCCCACCTTCTCGACTGCGAGTGGGGTGGTAGAGGCGGAGGGGGTCCACCACCTAAGCTGTGAGCCCATCCTAAGGGGCAGCCTTGCCTGTCTATGTGAGGCCATGTTTTGACGTTAACCTTCAGTGACAATTCTTTCTCCCTGTGAAGGAACCGCCCAAAGAGGATCTGACAGTGTCTGAGAAATTCCAGTTGGTGCTGGACGTGGCCCAGAAGGCCCAGGTAGAGCCCCCGGCCGGCCATGGGGTGCTCTGTGGTGGGCTCCTCTGGGCCCCGAGTGCCCCAAACTCCTGGCCAACAGCTGCCGTCGGCTGATTAACAGCCGAGTTCCTGTGTCTGTGTGTGGTAGGGGGTCCTTCACAGGTGGGGAAGCCCACTTCCAACATCCACCCCAGCTCTGGTTTCGGGGGGGCATACCCTGATTCAGACAGCATCCTGGGCTATCTTTGCTGGTTATCAGCACACCATCCAGACCCACCATCTCCTCCCTGCCCGTGAGGCTGAGCAGGCTTGGGGGGCCCTTAGTGGTCATGTTGGGGCCCTTGCACGTACTCTGCTCACGGTCTCTTCTCTGCCCAGAACCTCTTTGGCAAGATGGCCGACATCCTGGAGAAAATCAAGAAGTGAGTCAGAGCCCCGCCTGGGGGTGGTGAGGGGTGGTGGGGTCCCCGTCTGCTGAGCACCTCTCTCCCCTGCAGCCTGTTCATGTGGGTGCAGCCCGAGATCACGCAGAAGCTGTATGTCGCCCTGTGGGCCATCTTCCTCGCCTCCTGCTTCCTCCCCTACCGCCTGGTGGGGCTCGCCATGGGTAAGGAAGGCGCTGCCCCCCGCTTCCTGCTGAGCCTCGTGGCCTGTTGTTAGGCGGCTAAACCAGGGCAGATTGTGGTTCAGGGGGCGCCCCCGTGTGTGTCGGGGTCTTCAGAAGGAACCTCCAGACTTGCTGTCAGCAGCTGAGTGTGTTTGTTATTGTTGTTGTTAAGTGCTGTCCAGTTGTCCGACTCAGAAACCTTACGGGGCTCCCCTCCAGGTTTGAGAAAATAAATGCAGACCAGCCCCCCTACCCCCCCGCCCCAGGCTGCTTTCTCTTTTTGCTCCCTTCACCCTCCCCCCCAGCTAGGTGGCTCACCTCAGCCCCTTCTTGCCTTGTGGGGGCCTCTCTCCTCGAGGGGGGCTCACTGTGGTGAGAGGTCCAGGTGGAAGGGCTTGTCTCCCCCCTCAGGGCTCTATGCTGGGGTCAAGTTCTTCCTCATCGACTTCATCTTTAAACGCTGCCCGAGGCTCCGAGCCAAGTACGACACGCCCTACATCATCTGGAGGGGCCTCCCCACGGACCCCCAGCTCAAAGAGCGAGCCAGCGCCACCGTGTCCCGCCGGGTAAGCACCGAGCCCCCTGGGGGTGAGGTCCCTGGGAACTGGGAGGTCTGCAGCCCCTGGGAGCCACCTGGGAGCTGAGGCTTTCCCGAATCGGTGAGCCAGGTGAGACTTGCTGCTGTCCAGTGGGTTCTGAGCCGGAGCCCCGCTCCCTGTGTGGGGTTTCCGAGATGGTACATCTTTAGGGGAGCAGTCAGCCTCCTCTTTCTACCTTGAGGTGACTGGTGGGTTTGAGCCAGGCTGACTCCAAGCCCAGGTCCCTTCAGCCGCCCCCGAGGCTGGAGTCTCCTCTCACGTCGCAGGGTGGGCATGACGGCCCAGCTTGGCTTTAGGGTGGCCTTTCTCAGGAGACCACCGGGGGTGGGAAGGATTAGGGTTGACTTCCTGATGGAGGCTGCCTTTACTAAGGTGGTGTGCCCGAGCACAGCAGGAGAAAATACTGGAAGTGTGGGCCAAGGTAGCCATGATCCCGTGCTTGAAAAGTGTCACATGGACCCTTATTCTCTTGTTTTGTGACCCGCGCATGCCTAGTGTACCCTGGCCACATCTATTTGGGCCTCTGTGGTGTCCATTTGAATGTCTTGTGTTGGACACACTTTGAGCAGCAGCTGGCCTTGGTGGCATGTGCCGGAATGCAGACCCAGCTCAGCCCTGTGGTGGGGGTGGTCTAGAGGAGATTTTAGGGCAGTGAGGGTGCCCCCGGTGCATCAGGAAAGTGGCTGCCACTTGAGCCGGGCACTGGCAGGCTTGTCAGGGAGCCTCACCCAACCCGGCCAAGGCTGCAGTCCTCTGTCTACTCCCCGCTTGCCGTGTGGCCAGCTGCTCCTCCTCGGAGCCTGACCCAGTCCTCTGCTGCCCACAGGTCCAGACCACCTCCTCGCGAAGCTGTGTGACCAGTGCCCCAGCCGGCTTGGGCCGAGACGAAGATTCCAGCCGTTTCCACGGCACCAAGAAGGGCAACTTCCATGAGATCTTCAACTTGACGGAGAACGAGCGGCCACTGGCAGGTGTGTGTTTGCTGTGACCAGACACTGACCACAGTCAGAGACCCCCACCCACCACCACACACTGACCGCAGCCCAGGGACCCTTACTAGACACTGACCACTTCCTGAGGACCCCTGTTAGACACTGACCACAGCCCAGAGAACCCCATACACACTGATCACTGTCTATACAGTGGCCAGGCCCCAGCATGCACTCAAGGGGATCAGAGGCCCTGCCATGTTCTGGGCTCTGAGTCAGTGGTGTGATTGGGAGCTTGGGGGCTCTCAGTGAGGGGTCCTTTCTAACACACGACAGTGTCCGCCTCCCAGTGTGTGAGAGGGGGTGGTACTATGGGGGACTTTCAGTGAGGGGTCCTCTCTAATGCACAGTGATGTCCCCTCCGTCCCCCCAGTGTGTGAGAGCGGGTGGCGGTGCTGTCTGATCAACAGGGACCGAAAGATGCCCACGGACTACATCCGGAATGGCGTCCTGTACGTGACGGAGAAGTAAGTAGGCCAGACGGTCAGGCAAGGAGAGAGTGCTGGAGAGGCCCAAGGGGGCTTCAAGCAGCTGCCCAAACACCCAGGACCAGGTGGTAGGTGGGCTGTCTGATGGGGACTGGGTCGGGGAGCTCCTGCTGAGAACCTGCCCCTTCATGCTGCAAATCCCAGCTTCTGGGTGAGTTCCACCTCGAACCCAAACATGCTCTGTGCCAACATTTTCTGAACCTGAAGCTGGTCTGGTCTGGGGTGCCCATGAGGAGTGAGGCATCTGCTGCAGGATGGGGCTGCCCTTACTGTGTATTGGGGTGCAGCAGCTCTGGACAGCTGCCCTTTCTAAACACCCCAATGTGGGGTCAAGGAGAGGGGGTTGGGGGCTGTTCTCAGCCTTCTGGGGTCCTTGGCCTCTCCTCCGCTCTCACTGCAGCTGCCCAGGGGTTCGCCTAGTCTCTGTGTCCCTACCCCCCCGGGTTATGGCATCTCCTCCCGGAACCTGAATCTTGGCTCTGACTCATTTGTGAATCAGCAAAGCCACAGCTGAGTCCCTTGTGGGGTGGGCCGAGTAGAGGGGCTGGATGTGTATGGGAGCCCCTCCCCTGCCACCCCATGACACCTGTCTGCTCCCCTGGCCAGCTACCTGTGTTTCGAGAGTTCCAAATCTGGGTCCTCGAAGCGAAACAAGGTCATCAAGCTGATGGACATCACAGACATCCAGAAGGTGGGTGGACACCCCCACCGCAGCCGCCCATTCCCTCCTCCCATGAGGTCCAGACAGAGGCCCCTGGGGCCTGAGGGTGGGGGCTTAGCTGGACTGTTGGGGGTTCTGGAGACGCCGTGGCACTGCCCAAGCCTTTGCCAGGACCACCTCCCTGAGGGGTGTACCCAGACCCCTGTTCTCTATCTGAGCTTGTGAATCTGCTGGCTGCCCCCAACATAGCTGGGCCAGTGGGGAGCCAGGATGTACAGACCCAATGGCCCACAACGCAGCCAGGGTGGGACTGACAACCATTCCTTCATGAAGCCTCCCGGCGGGGTAGGGGGTGGCAGGCTGTGTTTCTAGTACACAAGGTGGGCTCTCACCCAGGTGGGCTCACGCTGAGGTGGGCTCTCACCCAGGTGGGCGGTGGTGCTGTCGTCCTTACCGAGATGCCCCGAATGTCGCACATCCGGCCCAGGCACACCTTGGCTTGTGTGTAGCCTGGCTTGGCGCTGGGGTTGGGTACAGGTGTCCTCTGACCCCCAGACAGAGCAGGGACTGGCTCTGTGAGGACCTTACTGCCTCCATGGTACACCTATGAGCTGGGGCGGGGGTGGCCTTCTGCCATCTGGGTGCCCTCTGTCCTCTTACACAGATGGTCAGTCTCACACAGGTAGGTGGACCCACCCAACTCCTCCCAAGCCCCAAGGGTTGTGGACCAGGTGCAGGTCCCTGCTGGAGTGGGCCCCAGCCATAGACTCGGCAGGTCTCCTTCCAGAGAGGAGGCGGGAGTGAGGCTGAAGACAGGGGGACCCAGCCTGCCCGTGGGGCTGGGCAGTAGGAACAGGTGTCCCTTGTTGACAATCCTGGGCGTGGACCCTGAGATGCTCTCCCCCACCCCCACCTGGGACTCCCTGCTGGGTGAGTGGTGGAGGGGTTGGCTGTCCAGGATGGGGGTGGGGCTTCAGCCTATCCCAGAACGGCCCCTGGTGACGTGTGCCCACCCCTTTCAGTACAAGGTCCTCTCTGTCCTGCCGGGATCGGGCATGGGGATCGCAGTGTCAACCCCTTCCACCCAGAAAGTAAGTGCCCGCCTCGAGAGTGGGCAGTGGTGGGGGTGGGGGGCGTTCGGGGAGGGTCTCGGGACTCCCCATGGCAGCAGGCTCTCGCAGAACCATCAGGATTTGAGTCTGGGAGACGTGCCCTTTTGGGACCAGGGAGAATGCTGGGAGTAGGGGTCTGGTGTTCTGCTCTGGGGTCCAAGTGGTGGCAGCTCACTAGGCCTCTGTCCCGCCAGCCGCTGGTGTTCGGGGCCATGGTGCATCGTGACGAGGCGTTCGACGCCATCTTCAGCCAGTACACCAAGATCACAGCGGCAGCCGCCGCGGGTGTGGACAGCTAGTATCTGATCCCTGATACCACGGAGTGGGGAGACACATCGGAGCCCTCGTGATCTTTGGCAATAACCCCCTGGACCTTGGTTGTCATGTGCTGCCTGTATCTAACGTCTCCCCTTGGGGTTGGGGTCTGCAGATCGGTGCTGCACCCCCCAGCACCAGGAGCACTCGGATGCACATTCGGGGTCCCTCAGAGACCCATGTGAAGGACAGTAGGAGGCCTGCCCCTGCCCGGATGGAGACAGTCCCAGCTGAGAGCTGCAGCGCCCCCAAGCCTTAGCTGAGGGAACGCTGTGGGGGGGGAGGGAGCACTGCGGAAAAGGGGCTGCCTGGTCTTGCCCCTCCCTCGGTTGATACACTGCTGAGTTTGTCCTCAGAGCGGGCATGTCTGGGACACGCAGTGCTGTCCACTGACTGGGTCACTGGGCTGGCCCTTTGGAGGCAGTGAGGCTGGGGGAGGGCTCTGTGCTGTGTGGTCCTCTGGTTCGGGCGGGGCTCACAGGCACAGTAGGGTCGGGGGGCAGTGAGTGGGCAGAAGCACATCCTATGACCGGTTCTGTGGGGGAGGAGGGAAAGGGGCTGGCTTAGCCTTCAGGGCACTCTGAGAAGTGACCTCAGCTCCAGGGTGGGTTCCAGTCAGTGTAAGGGAAGGGGGGGTGTTGAGCTGGCAGGGGGTTGTGGATGGGGGTAGACCACAGCCCCTGGTGTCCTGTTCCCAGCCAGTGCCCAGCCCCTGCCTGCCCTGGGCAAGGCGGTGATGGGGGGCGGCTTCCGACGGGCTTTATCCCGAGACTCACACTGGACTTGGGAATGCGGAGGAGGCGTCTGGAGCCATGGCCATCTGCCTCCAGTCCCAAGGGTCTTGAGAGCGTTGTTTTTTGAAGAAACAGAAGATTATATTTTTTACAGAGAGCAAGCTGTTTTTTCTTATTTTTGTATCATTTTTCAGATGTAATTTTTACCTTTGCTCCACCCTTCATTGGCTGGCTGGGGGAGGGATCTGGGAGTGGTGGGGGGGGTGGTCTATTGACCCCCACCCTTTACACAGGTGTGGAGGCCCTCACAGCTGGTTCCAGGTAGCGTTTGGGTCGGGAGGTGACACTGGCCAGCCAGTGAGGCACATGTCCCCCTGACATACTCCCCAAGGCCGGCGAGGACTGGGGGAGTTAGCTGGTGGCCGGTCAGCATTGTCCTGCACTGTGACCACGCGTAAAGGAAGGCGGGGTGTGCTCCAGCCCTGACTCTGAATGCTCGTGGACTGACTGATGGGGTCACACCTCGGGGGACCCCTGTGGAGCCTGGGGTGCAGCAGGGTGGTCCTGAACGGACCCAGGAATGGTGCCAGTCACATCTCCTTCTACAGGCCTGGCCGTGCAGGTGTGAGGGTCAAGGACTGCAGGGGCCGAGCCCCACCCCACCGAGCACCAAATAAGCAGCTGGAATTCGGCTCCTGGGCACAGGGCAAGGGTGTGGGGTGTCCACTGAAGGAGGACTTGGCCTTCTTACACAAAGTGGTGGTTTAGTCGGAGTCCCTTCTCAGGAGAAAGGACAATGAAAACTGACCACACCCTGGGAGGCCACAGCCCGGCACGTGGCAGTGGCTGGGGTGGACAGTGGGGCCCGTGAGGGCAGACCAGGCCTCTGGGCCCCTGGGCTTCTGCCAGAACCGCGTGAATCTGAGCAGACAGAGTTCATTTCTCTGACTAATCCTTGGCCGGGAATGAATGTTGACTTCTGTTGTCTGAAGCTCACGTCTCCTTTGAGTCTGTAAATAATTGTGAGCGGTGTAACTTTTGTTCAATGAAAGGATTGTACGGTATGAGGGACCGATGGAAATAACGCCCCTGTAACATTTTTTTAAGAAAACCTTGTTTGTTTAAAGAAAACAAAGTCTTGTATAAATTATAATTTTTATTTAAATAAACCTGAAATGCTTTGTGCTAAGGCATGTGGCTTAGGTGTGATGGGGAAGTGGGAGTGGGTGGGGTGCTCAGGGTTCCAGAAAAGAGCCCACAGGGGAGCTGGATGGCAGGGTCAGCACTGGAGGGTCTGATGCTGGGCCGTCACCTCACAGAGGCAAGCAGACTTGAGAAGATGAGGTACCTGGAGTTGGGGTATAGGTCCCGGCCCCACCCAGAGGTGGCCTTCTGCCTTCCCAAAGAGCCAGGTACCCCTTCATCATCCTCTCCCCCCACACGGGCTGTGACCTCAAGTGCACTGCCCTCTCCACTCAAGGTCTGATGTCCAGGGGCTGGGAAGCTGAAGGATAGAGCAGGGCAGAAACACCACCCCCCCTGGAATTGCCCCAAGCCACACAGTTTGGTGCCCAGGGCTCCGAGTCCTGGTTCTTCAGAGCAGAGTGGAGGCGGGACAGAAACCAAGTCTCACGGGTCAGCTCCACGGTCACTAGCCTGGCCTCATGAAGACGTCTCTGCAACTCTGTCCTGCCGTCCCTTCCCCCACCCACGTCCATCCCTCCATCTGCCCCTCTTTGTATCCATCTATATCCCTATTCATCCACATCCATCCTTTTCCATCCCTCCATCCACCCATGTAAACATCCATCCTTCCCCCTCCGTCCATCTGTCTGTCCATCTGTCCACCATCCCTCATAGCTCTCTGCCGCCATCCTCTCATCTCTCCACCCACAGTGCAGCTGGCCTCTGCAGGGACCAGACCCCGTGCTGGGAGACAGAGTGAAGAGACCACCTCAACACCCATGGCCTCCTATAGAGCTCAGCCCCATGCCCCTCCTATAAGTTTCCCATCTCTGAACAAGATGAATTTCTCAGTATCCCACCTTCTTTCAGCTACCACCCAATCCTCTCCTCTTTGGGGCACAACCCATGTCTCTTCACGCCCCCTTCAGGGTTTGCCTCTGAGAGCCCTCCCACTGCTACCAGACCCCAAGGAACTACCCATCAGCCAGTCCACTGCTGGGCCACACAACCGCAGTGACCATGCACCGTCGCCTCGGAACACTACATGCTGGGAGGAGTGTGGAGGCGGAGAATGGGGTTCACTTGGGTGCAGAGCCTGGAAGAGGTGCTGTTTGAGCAAAGCCGTGAAGGAGGTGGCATTGGACACCAAGTGGTCTCTGGACAGCCGGTGTTCACACCCAGTGGGACTGTGGGTGCCGCCCTGCCCAGCACCCTCGCCCTGAGCAGCCAGGTCTCTGCCCCTCTGTGTACCTGCACGTATGTGGGGGAGTGTCAAACATGGGACAAGTGGAAGGCAGGATAATGCAACTCCTCCACAAACTTTTGGAAGCCCACTTGTAGGACCATCATCACTGTGGGGTTTTAATATATCCTGGTAACTCTATTTCAATCAAATCTGTTTCCTCGGCAATCCAGTAGATCTTAATGTATGCATTGAAACTGTTATTCTGAGAGGGGTCTGGAGTCTTCACCTGGCTGCCAGAGGGGGATCTGGAGACCAGCAGGAGGTCAAGAACCTCAGGTGAGGGGTCCCTGTCTCGCCAACAGCAGATCAGAAGGGGCTTAACGAGGGAGGGTGGGCTGGGAGACAGGGAAGACAGGCACACAGAGCAAGATGGAGTTGTTGATGGTTTGGTTTGGGGTCAGGTGCTCGCTTCATAGGTGTTTGTTTTACTCTAACATTTTAAAAACTAGTCTTTTCAGTTGTGAAAATTGGTTAATGACTAAAGAATACTGGAGACGAACTGATGCATTTAGAGGTATGGTGTTGGAGAGGACTAGTGAATCTGCCTCAGACTGCCAGAAGAGCAGGCGCGTCTGTCTTGGAGCAGGTACAATCAGAATGCTCCTTTGAGCGACGTTGGCAAGACTCCACGTTACCAGGAGGGACCAGTCCCTGGAGAAGGACATTGTGCTTCACAGACCTAAATGAGATGGACTGACAGCGGCAACACCAATGGGATGACACATGGTGATTGTGAGGAGGGTTCAGGACCGGACAGGGTCTCCTGTTTGTACATAGGGCTGCTGTGGGTTGGATCTGATCAGACAGCAATGATATATAATGTAAACCACATATAGTGTTGTTGTTAGGTGTTGTCCAGTCGATTCTGACCCATAGTGACCCTGTATAGGGTTTCCAAAGAGCAGCTGGTGAGCTTGAACCACCGAACTTGCAGTTCAAATGACTTTGCAGTCTGACGCATTAGCCCACAAGTGTACCGGTATGTGTTATAACAGTGTATAATGTAACAGTGTATAGTGTAGCGGTATGTAACATAACTGTATAATGTAACAGTATATAGTGTGTTGTTGTTGTTAAGTACCATGGAGTCAGTCCTGACTCATAGCGACCCTGTACAGGGTTTCCGAGGCTGCAGATCTTTGCGAGAGCAGAAAGCCTCATCTTTCTCCCGTGGAACAGCTAGTAGTTTCGAACTGCTGACCTTGAGGTTAGCAGTCGATTCATACCCACTATGCTACCAGATATAACAGTATATAGTGTAAGGCTGTGTAATATAACAGTTGTATAATGTAACAGTAAACAGTGTAATGGTATGTAATGGAACAGTACATAAAGTAACAGTATGTAATGTAAAAGTACATACTGGAACAGGGATGGGCAACATGGACATTGGCTACCCAAATTGGGGGGTGGGGGGTAGGCTTCAAAGGCAAGAAGTGACTGGCTTACAACGCTTTCAAGAAGGAACCTAGATCCAGAGGGTGTGGAAGAAGGTAGAATCTCCACTGAGTAGTATCCAATCTGTCTAGGTGGGACTGATGAAAGGAAATGCGGATAGGTCTCTCGTGATACAGTAGTGAATAATTGTTACCAGGACTGATTGTGAGGGCTGTAAATGTAAATGTAGACATTTTGTAGCAAAAGGAGGGGAGTGATTAACTTTTCAGTCTAGGAGCGGAGGTCCCTGGGACCATCAAGGGAGAAGAGCGGAGAGCGGGACCCTACCCAGAGAAGCAGTGATGCCTGAGATGGAGGCAGAGATGATGACGTGGAGAGATGGAGCAGCTGGGGACTCTAGATCCAGAGAGAGAGAGGGGCT